AAAAAACAATTAGGAATTAGTGAAAAATGATATGTTATACTATTTACAAAGTTCTTATTATCATTAGTATAATAATTTGTAATTAACGAATGAAGTCTTTTAGCACAGTCCTTGTACTTTTTTTTTTATTTCTAATTGTTCTCCAGCATTATACTGTTCTCGTTTTCATTCTTCTAAATTTCGAGTTTCTTTTTATTACATCAATAAATTTTCATATAGAAGAGTGGCTTCCTGCTAAAGAATATTTATTATTTTATTAAAAATACTAATAATTAATAAAATGGGTTATAGTTTTACAGTTTTATAAGTTTTAAAGCTTATCCAAGTAGTATATTAAAATTCAAAATATTCAAAATAGAAATTATAAAAAACTGCAGTTTCGTTACTATGCACGATTGCTATTTTAGCATTTTTCGCTATTTGGCCTAGAACCTTTCTAACCACCGATTATACTCATTGACTAGATTATTTTTATTGTTGCAATTATAATAAACAATGCCACAAATTGATACACAAATATATTTGTACTTTAATAGGAAAAATAATTTTTTTTGTTATTTATTTTATTTTAAAGTGTATTATTATTCTTACATAAAATCATAAAATATCAAAATATATGTTTATTACGTATAGCTACGTTAAAATTTTTATTTCTGCCAAAAACTATTTTTAGTCAAATAATAATTTAAATTACAAGATGGTAATATTGGTTTTGCTCTACGTTGACTCCACCTATTATAAAGATAACAAAAATCAGCCTATTTCAATAATGTAGTCACATTAAAATAATTTCACCAAATGAATTCACATACTAACCTATCCATGGAAATTCCTGTTCTTATATAATTACCTTCTTCCTCCCTTACTTAATAAATAGATAACATGCAATAATGAAAAGCCTTAACTATCTATCATTTGATTATATTTTTTTTCTTAAAATCCATGCTTGATAATTTTTCATGCCATCGATCACGCCATATCGCATAAATTGGAATCAATATAATCAAACGTAAGTCCTCTTTCATTTGTTTTATGACAAATTTAAATAATTTTCGATTAAGGTATATCACTTACTCATAATTTTTAAGTAGCAATAGAAATTCTATATACACACAAACCTCTTACTTACCAATCAAATTCATGAATCTTAGCAGTAAGCCGTGGAAAAAATACGAGTTTGATCAATACGACAATAATTATATAATCCTTATATAAATTAAGTTTTTGTGCAACACATCTTTAAATAACTGCGAGTTTCACATAATATGAATATAACAGATCGTTAATATTTTACAAAATTTAAATTTTTATAAAAATGTTTCCAAAAGAAAAGAAAATGTGATTTAATTTATTAAAATTATTTCATAAATGAATTTTGTAATAAGTATATACATATATGCTATATTTCTATTTTCAAACAATGAGTATTCTTGGAATTTAAATTCTGATTTTAATACGATACATACAATTGATAATGTAAATTAAAAGATACGTGATTATTATCTGTCTCCAATGGCGTAGCAAGGGTGGGGCAGGCGAGGGCACTTGCCCCCCCCCCCTGCGCCTCAACCTGAAATCTATTTGTTTATACCAAACGTGTAAGTTTTACATTAAAATCAATAATTAAATAAGATATGTTTAAAAATAGTTTAGTGGGACCAAGTGTTATCTACACGTGTAATCGTTTTGACATTTTATGTGTTATCCAATGGTCTAATTGTAGATTATTTGAATTACGAATTTAACCCTAATCGCTTTACATTTTTGTCTCCATCCCCCTAATTCAAATATTAGCTATAATCTCACTTATCTTATTGTTATTAACCATTTCACAGATATTTGGTGTTATCATGCTGCTGTAGTTAATTTTTAATTATTTTTAATTAGTTAAATTTTTTATGAAATTTGCATAGCTACAATTTATATTATTGTTGAATTATAATACTTAACAATATTACAAATCTTAAGTAATTATTTTAACTAGTTAATAAAAAATATTTATAAATATATATATGTTATATATTATATTATTATTATATAATTATTTTTTATTTTTATTATTATTTTAATTTTAATATATACAATTATAATAATAATAATATATACATAACTAAAAGGTTTGAATATACCTGTGCACATGAATAATTACATATATGCATAGATTATTCAAACATGCTGTTTAATAAGACTCGAATGTTAATTTCACGTCAATACACAGAAGTGTGTACCCGTGAAATAAAAAAAATATATAATATATATATATATATATATATATATATATATATATATATATATATTGCTTATAACAATAGAATAACGTACAAAAGCAAATACAATAAATGAGAGTTAAGTAAAATTTGTGTTTGGCTAAAATAAAATCATTCCAAATTTTAATTTTTGGCAAAAATAAGTAGAAAAAACAGATGGTAGAAACTGTAATTGTATACATCTCCTTCACTTACATATATACTTATAAAATACACTATTATTTATTGTATTGACGATTTTTAATCAATAAAATAAATATGCTTTGCAAATTAAATATGATGATCTGAGTTCTTTAGTTACAGACAATTTTTCGTATTTTCATAAAATAAAAGAACACCTGGTAACATTTAATAGATAATTTAATAGAGTCGAACGACGATGATTATTTATAGTATAGATCGCATGTTATTTATGCGTTTTCTATCACTATATATACAGCTGCATATTTTTGGTAGGGGGTTCCTGGTTCTAGAATCATCAGAAGAAAAAAAGTTCAAAAGTTATAAATGACTTGATACGGAGGTACAGTAAAAAAAAAAAAATAATTTATATTATGTGGTTGTAAATAACACTTAATTTGTATTTATAATAGATATAGAATAATATATTATTAATACATACCTTATGTGTATTTTTTATAATATTATAAAATCATTTATTTTTTTTAGAAAAATGTTAACTCCCCTCTACAATATTTTTAAAATACGCCACTGTATATATACTAGTATATATACAGTAAAACCTCGATAAAACGAAATTGCTTGGGCCCATGATATTTTTCCGTATTAACGGGGTTTCCATCTTGACGGGGTTAGTTAATTGTTTGTAATTTGAAACGGGACCAAAAAAATGTTCCGTTATACTGAAGTTTCCGTCTTACCGAAGTTCCGTCTTATCGAGGTTTTACTGTAAATATATGAGGATTAAAATGCTACAATTAATAGTAACCAAAAGTTATTCGAGTTATTTTATGTTATAAATAAAAGTATGTTAAAATAAAAACATGATTGCAATGTGGTCCCACGATTGTCCATGTATGCCCTTAAATCCAATATGCTCTTTCAAAGAGCTGTACATAATATTAATCGGGTGCGATGCTGTTGTACTGTTCGTATTAATCATAAGAAATTTTTAAATTTTAATTATTATGTATGATTCATCGAATACATGTAGTTTTATTTGATTTACTTCATTAGTTACTTTTACTACATGGTTACTACTGTTTGGTTAAAAGAAAAAGAAACAAAGTAACCTTGTTTAATAACAATATGTCATTTTATTATAGTTGAATTTCGTATTAAGATTGGTACACTGTTATTTTACTGTTGTTTACAGTTATGGGATGGATAAGACTTTTTGGTATGTTGTTAGACTTCTGAAGATATACGCGTCTTATCAAAATTTTGTAAGAACTCGTTGAAGCAACGAAACGAGTTTCAGTTAAATATTTAAACCGTATTGTTTACTATACATATTGACTATTTTTTTTAAAAGTATAGCTAAGTTCTCAAATCTAACTCAATATCAACTACTATAGTGAGTTCGATAAGAATTGTTTTTACAATTTGACTGCTCTCCTTAAAAATTGTTACATCGTTTATATATAAGTATATTCCTCACCAGTCTTGTTCTTCAATGCCACACGATCGATTATAAATATTTTCAATCCAATAGATTAGTTTTCTGTACATAATATTCGTTAACTAATAGTTCTAAAAAATACTGACTCGAAGCGATAGAGTACATTGTTTAACGATACTTATTAAATCCAATTATAGAGCAATAATGTTATTACAATGAATTATTGTTATGATCGCTGCACGAGGTACCAAAGTAAATGCATTTACTTGCTGTTTAAGATATCGATTTATATCCACGAATATTTAACTGTCTGTATATAGCTATAGAACTTATAATTTTACAGTAATTAAATACTATAGTTATTAGTTAATTATTAGTATTTACCCGTTGTTGACTAAAAAATAAAATTTATTTTTAAGGTAAAACGTACATAGTATGCATTTACGATGTTTGGAAATCAATTTTTACTAATTTAACACCTTATAGTATTTAGCAGAATGTATTTATTTTTAAACAGAAATACAAATTTACAATAAAAATTAGTACATTTTCCATACTCGTATTATATTTTTTTGATTTAAACGTTTTTAGAATTAAAACATGTCGAGTTTGTTTTGTAATATACTTTATAATAAAATCAATATTATTGATTATTCTTTAATAACGAAGAAAAATATGATAATTTTTTTTAAATTTTTATTTTTTATTTTAAGCTTATCATGACGTCAGTGATTAGTAAAAAGGGATATAGTACAAAATACAAATCATCTTTGAAAAATATAACTTGTTAATAATAAAAGTTTTCCATCAAAATCCAGTTCTCCAACCGTATTAAAAAATATCAGTGTTTGCTGAGAAAAAAAGTGTACGTGTACAAATTTTGTAACGACTCCAAATGATATCAGGTGTCGAAAACTGTCACATGGTTTTTACGATGTCACTGTAGTTATTGTAGTGATTTCGGACAACCGGTTAGGAAGTTGGACAGTCTAAAATCGGGATGCTAATGCTGCGAACATAGATTAAAGTAGAAATACACGATCAACGATCAGAAGAACACCGTTTGTCCCCGTGCATATCCGGTCGTACGATTTATCAATAAGTTCGATTTGACGATCGATTGTCGATTATGCTAGATCACGGCACAGTTATTACAAAAAATGTACCATCCCCGTGCGTTTGCGAGGGATTCGTTACGTATAAAAATAAATTTTTCGCCTCCCCCACCGTCACGAAAAAAAAAAAATGAAAAATGAAAATAAACCACGCTTATATCGTGTGCCGCCACAGTGAAAATGATGCTCGGGATTAACGGAAAATGCCGTTTGGGGTTTACAATGATAATTATAATATTTTCTCTCTCACTCTTTCAATCTATCTATTTTTCTTTCTATACACACATCGTACGTATTTCAATAAGCACACACGCATGTATGGATTGGGTAGTATTGGTCGGTGCGCTTAAGGGTTGAGCAGTCATCCGAGCAGACGTGATCTGTGCTGCAGCGATAGATTACTCACGGGAGGGGACTACGCCGGCAGTGGCCGTTACACGTTATCCGCGCGGCCCACGGTGCTGGAGCCCGGCTGCGACCGGGACGTGACCGTGGTGAGCGTGGTCAGGTAACTGGTGCTGAACCGCCGGTCGCTCTTCACCACGATCGACAGCCCGGTCGTCTCCGCGTCGTGATGATGATTCCTCCGGCACGGCACCTCGGACCCCGGGCCCGGCCGCCGGTCGTTCGGGCCGCGGTAGTCGGTGGCCACGGACGGGTACCGCCGTCGCCTGGGCGGCGGCTTCTGGTCCCCGCAGTACCACATCTGCCGGCATATGCCGGATATGTCCCGCCGGAAGTTGGTGTTCAGCCAGCCGTACAGCAGCGGGTTCGTGCACGTAGTGGACATGGCCATCATGTGCACGCACGCGAACACCTTGTACAGCACGTCCGTGGACTTGATCAGGTGCGGCTGGAATTCGACCAGCAACGTGAACACCGTCAGCGGCAACCAGCTGAGCGCGAACACCACTGCGATCGACGACAGTATCCACATCGTGCGCTTGTTCCGGCTCAGCTCCCTGCGCACTGCGAACAGACACGGAACGCCCGCGGGCTTATCAATGCAATAACACGTTTAATTTACAAGTATTATTAATCGGTGGCGTCTATGGGCCCCCTTCGTAGAGAGTGACGGACTTCGGAAATGTTTACCGCATTTATTCATATTTCTAGTGTTATATACGTAATAAATAACGTAAAAAAAAGGCCATTTGGGTGGAGGACTTCTCTATTACCCCTCCCAATAAGTACGCCTTTGTTGTTAATACACTGTCCATCCTAGAGAATGAATAGCTGTTCAAATCACGCGAATCGTATTTAATTTTTTTTTCAATGTATGCTATAGATTTATTTGTCTTAGAAAAGTTATCGTGTACAACTTTTTTTCTTCCTCTCGACCCGCTTGGGAAGTATTTAATTCGTTTCATTTTAGATTACAAATAAATATAAATACAATCAAATTATATTATATTTATTTTATTTTATTTTTTTTAAAAATTCAAATAACCCAAAATAAATTGTTTCGTTTAATAACAAAGGCTCCGTTCTATGTATCCAACCAAACCTTACACTCAGACCTTAAAATGAACACTGTTTTCGAAACCGCTACCAAATCATACACTCGTTACCACAACTCTCTTTTCGACCATCCTAACATCCTAGCTAAAAATCTAACCAATCCAATGCCTGGTAACCCTCCCAAAAGATTGAAAAGAAAATGGTGCCGCGACCTACTTCAATAATTTAACCTTATGACTCTGACCTGGAGTGTCGCCAGTGGGCGGCTTCTCCTTTCATGTTTTTCTGGCTGTAACCCTAATTGTTAACACTTAAGCTTATTGTACATAATTTGTATAGATTGTTTAAATTCAAATAAAAAACAAAAAAAAAAAAAAAAAAAAAAAAACAATTTTATTATTTTTTTTATTGATTTGTAATTACTGTATCTATGTAATTTAATTGCGGTTTTTGTGATGAATTTAACAGTTAATATTGAAATAGTTTTATATTAACGATAAAAATGAACCTTGATTGACCACTTATAAATAATATTATAATTCGTAAAAAAAAAAAAATCATTAAAATAATTACTAATTTGCTTAAAATTATTTCTGTTCACAAATGTGATTTCTCGCATATCCAAGTATATATTCTAATGGTTAATATAATATAAAATAAAATTCCTGTAACGGTACAACATATTGTTCCTTTCTAAGGCCACTTTAGATAACTCTCCTCTACTGTGGTTCTATCGCGTATCAAACAGGATTTACTCTAAATTCCTTCTCTAGACTCCGATTTCTTTTGATTTGGTTACTTTAGGTTATATAAAGATATTAACCATTATAAAGAACACGGTTTTCATAAAAAAAGTAATACAATTTTATAAAATAATACATTCGTATAAAAGGTGGAACATCCGGTGAAGTAAGGTTTTCAACTTTTTCAGTAAAGCAATAGCTTTATAATTTGTGATACTGACAAATTAAAATTCCATTTATCGTTTCCATTAAATCCAGGGTCAGTCATGTACATTTTTTTAAATTATTATTTTTTTTCTGGCCTAATTTTTATTCAATTACAATCTTCATGTATATGTTTTATTGTGATTTGATCAAGAATTTATTTCAGTATAGCTCATCTAAGATGTAATCCTCTTGAGGAAATAGATTTACCTGATCATTTTTCAAAATCAAAAATGTCAATCCAATTTTAAAGTCATAACAGATTCTGTGTGTTCATATTCTTGTTACTATTTGATAGATATAAATAGTTATTACATAATTTAGGATTATTTTAAATTTTAATATTCAAATAAAATATTGATATAAGTGTCATAGTAATTTAATAGACGTATCACTTTCAATACGCATTCCATATATTCGCCAATTCCAATAAAGAAATGTACTTATTTGAGCATTTACGAAGTTTTTTGTTTATTTTATGTAGTCGATTTTTTTTTTTGTACCACGTTGTGCATGCTTTACAGTTTCCACCCTCCGTAAATCATCAATTATTATTGGAATTCGACTGAATTTATTATTTATTGCCACATAGTAGTGTTACACATAAATATTTTAAGAGTCATTTTGTTTTTGACTGTATAACACGTACACGTGCGTGCTTGAGTCAGTTTAAATATAAGTATCTGGAATGATATATTACTTTTGATGCTTATTAAGTATTACTTAAAATTAAATAATTAGTTATTTTATGAAACCCTAGTGAATAAACCCGGGTCGAATATAGTGTAGTTACAAAGATGATTAATATTCTAAGTGAATAATATTATATGGAAAAATCTGTTTGTTTAGACCTTTCATGTCTTTCATCTTTCTTAGTTTGTCCAAATACAAGTAATATAAATATATAAATATATAAATATAGAAAATATTAATGTGAAACTGTTTAAAGTTTGTGACCGTTTATCTTAAATTTATCTTATATAGATAAGCATTCTAAAATTCTTTATTTTAGTTAAGAGTATGTAAAAAAATTAAAATAAAAATTAGCATAAATTGGTAATTCAAAACGACAGAAAAATATAAAAATAACGTGACAATTCTGATGCGTGTATCATATTTCAACGCAAATAATTTTGGCGTATCGAAGAATATTAATTCTACGCGTTTTACGATACAATGATATTATCGATCGATAAGAAATTACTTCGATAAAAGTTGTATGAAATCGATACAAGGAAATTTTGACGCGTTTTATTATATGTAAATATATATCGCTTCTCCGGTGGAACAACGGCGTAAGTGAAAATGTAATTGTTCTTCAGAAAACGTAATTGTTCCATTGGACATGTGATTAAAAACCGGTATTTTCAACAATGACGAAACTGCTCTCTAGCGGTCAATAATAGGTATTATACTTATGTACTGTTGTCGTACTTATGTCTAAAAGTCAAAAATTTGCGCTTATGTCGTTGTTCCACCGGAGAAGCGATATGTATATATATATATACATTGATATCAATTTTTATAGGTTTATAAATAACAAATTTTCTTAAATTTTTCTTTAATATTATCGGTACCGTTAAATATTCATCACGCATTTTAATAGACACAACACTAGCACACCAACACAAGATATTCACCGAGTTCAACTGAATATCTCAAACCAACATGAATACTTTCTTGTTTATCATCATGGTGCATAAAAAGTTTGTTGAAAAAATATAATATACATGACGCCACTTTACGACGTAGAAAATATTACTCTAATACTGGTGTAACAGAGGTCTGTTTTCAAATTTGCAAAGTAACCTAACCATAATACATACAATAATAGGTATAGGTATTAAACAATACACTATACATTCAACCCCACACCACTAAATCAATAATACTCGAATAAAAGCTATTTTACGTTAAACCTACCTACACCGAGGCGTAACGTCTTTTAGTTACCTTAGGGACAACTTTTATGAGAGCACAAACTTTAATCGGTGTGTGCACTGTGCATATTGTCATTTGCATAATATATGGTCTCAATTTGTAAAACCATTGGTTTGAATGGGTTCACTACGTAAAAAAAAAAAAAATGTTTTACTCGCCCAGCGACATTAATTTATGGGTAGGTAGTATAGATTAACGCAAACACGTTTACTTCCTAATGGATTTGAAATAAGGGGGAGTTAAATTTACACATTATTTCGAAGTCCAATTACAACGGTTGAATTGATGTGAACATTTTGAGTCATTATTAGATTTATAACACATGCTGTATATAATATAAAAAATATCAAATCTAAGACAAATGCATGTTCATGAATAAATTGGACTGTTGGTGATTATTTGAAACAATTAAATAATTCGTGAACATTGTTGCTTGCTCAATTTTAAAACTTTATAAAATTGTACTTTTACCATTCATTTTATAGAAATATTTAGGCAACAAGTTATGTTGTAGACCTGGTAGTTTTCATTGTAAAAAATTTTATTAGAAAATATTATGGTGCACTAAAGTGCTTTAGTATGTCATTCAATATATTTTTCTGGATCTTTGTATTGCGTATAGTAACAGTTTAACGTTAGATCTGTAAAATTTTCGTTTCACACATGGTAGACTGGAACAACGGGACGTCAGGAAATTTCCCAGTGGGATAGTGCCAAATGTGACCATTGGCTTCTAAAAATAATTGTACACAGATGTGGCCACTCAAGCTCAGTTTAATTATTATTACGGTCTACCACTAGTTCAGTGCATACTCATCAACAGATACATTTTGTTAATTAATTTTTGATTTTTAACTAATAAATACATATAATTCGCGTATAACAACTAATTGTCATTGATATAAACTCATTGAAAAAAATTAATCTATGTTTATGTTTGTATTTGTGTTTATATATGAACTATATAAAATATTAAAATACGAGTAAAATAAGTTTCATTGGCGTAAATATATTATTGCAGAGGAACGTATTATAATGCATGTACTCATATGACATTGTAGCCGTATAAAATTTAAAGTAGAAAAAGACCATTTCCAAAATTGCCCTATACAAAATAAAATTAAAATTAACATTGTTCAGCTATCAAATTTTATAAACCAGAAAAATGATTTGGCTACATTAAATATTGATTTAATTAGAATGTTTTTAAACTATAGCTGTGTATATCTTCATTTAATATTGTACTTAAAACATTATTAGAACACTGATTTTGTTATTACATTTTTATTATGATGAAATATTGTACGTAGCACAAAACTTATAGGTCGATGTACGGTTTTCAATTAACATTCGCGTGTAAACGGTATCGAGAATGATTATTAATAACTATACAACTTATGAGAAATACAATTTGTTCAAAGTAACAGGGGAAATTTTTAAGTTCACAAAATACGCGTGTATGCTTTTCTATTGTATAACAATCCCAGAAAACAAATGGAAAATGGAAAACATAACAGTTCCATTTGCCGAATTAGATATTTCCATATATAATTTATCGACAACGCCCTTTAATCAAGTTTTCATACAATTTACAGAGTATATAATGTAAAGCATTCTTTG